AAAAAAAAAAAAAAAAAATATAGTTTTGTAAAAGCCTAAAAGCCTCCTTCCCGATTTGAAAACACAAAACCGATCGCAAAGTCCCGGCAGCTTATCAACACACAGCCTGTCATCATGAACCCTCCGTCAGCTCCATGCACACCTCAAAAAAAAAAAAAAAATCCCATACTCCCCAATCGCCTCGTGGAGTCGAGCACGACGGCAAATATTCCAAGTATGGTGAGATGTTGCATTGTAATTTTTCAGCGGTGGCGTCGGCAGCAAGCTGGAGATGCTGGCGGGGGTGAAGTCGCAGGTGGCCTCGTCGATGAGCGGCTGGCTGAGCGGCGGCATACCCGGTCTGAACCGCGGGGCCGGGGGTGCGGCCGGCGAGGATCAGATGGCGGAAGGTGTCGGCGCGGAGGGGCCCGCTGTGGGAACGACGGCGGGGGATCAGGCGACGTCTTCTGGCGACGGCGCGACAGATAACGTAAAAGACGATGACGCTAGCAGGTGGGTCGCAGGGTACGTGACAGCGGCCAGCCGTTAACACAATCCGAAATCTCTTCCCTGCCCCCTGTTTGTGACTTTTCCCGCTCCCACTTTTCTCTCTCTCTCTCTCTCTCTCTCTGTGTGCGCGTGTGTGTGTGTGTGTATGGGCGCGATTATTGTTATTAATATTATTGGCTGTTGGCGATACTTGTGCCGATGCTGATTTCATTGACATTTTGGCTGTTCTTTGTGCAGTGCCACGGGTCTGTCTGTGCTATCCGGTAGCTGTTGTGCCTATAAAGATGAATTAGTAACAGTATAATGACAAATTGTAATTGATGTATATATATTTGAAGGGTCTCGGTTGGTATGAGAAGCTGAAACAAGCAGACAAATTCCAGCAGCGTTGCCGTCAAATAACAAATTCTACTTGTGGTACCCTTACAACTAAAATAGATACCCCTTTATTTTGGTACCCTAAGTAGAATTTGTTATTTTACGGTATCGCTGCTGGAATTTGTCTGCTTGTTTCAGCTTCATTCGGTTGGTTGAACATATATATTTTTTCAACGTGTCATAAATTATCGAGCAGCTTGAAAAGCTTCGCTGGTAAATACTTGTGGTTGAATCATACATCGTCCAAAAATTTTTAATGTATTAATTTAATCCAACGATTGCTGTTATTAATACATCTCTCACTCAGTTAATTGGAGTTCTTTTGTTTTTTGTGTCTTGAAGTAATCTGTTGATTGCAATTGTTGCGCGGGAGGGGTAAAAGCTTTATTACGATGACAGATGAGCGCATGGATGTATTAAATGAATAAATATACATTTTTTTTTACAAAGTAAGAGACTACAGAAATAAATATGTCTTGTACAATTTATCGATGATTTATAAATAAACTTGACCCTATTTTTGGATCGATAGAGTGTAAAAATAAGTCTAAATATGATTGCCGAGCTCTTGGTGTTTGTGTATTGTATTCAGCTGAAAGGAATAAAAATAAAGTATACCTATGTACAGAGTTGGTTCTTGATTAAGTTCACGGGACGTTGAGTGAGAAAAATAACGTTGACAAGTAGGTACTGCGTTGCCACGAAATTCATTTCAATTAAAATGTCGACAGGATATTTTTATTCTTTCGCTGCCATGGGAACTCGAGAATTAAAAAATATGGCATGTTGCGTGTGTAATTTCAAATTGCGTTTGGTATGAATGTTTGTGTAGCCAAAGTTATCAATTTTATATACCCTCTTCTTATGTTTCAGCTTGAGTAAGTTTTTATACTTAATATTATATAAATTCTTGATTTATTAATATCTTACATTTCTTTTTTTTCTTCTGAACGTAGAAAATTTGTAGTTTTATTTGTTGACTTTTTTCTCATTTCATCGTACACATACATATATATTTAGCTTCGACTTCGGTATGTTTTTAAGTTTTATTGTTTTTCGGGCTTTACCAACCAATATTCATTACAATAATTTAAGAAAATGCGTTCATGGCTTTGTTTGTCTGTATAAAATGATTTGATAAACATAATGATGGACAAATTTTATTTTTCTCCCTTTGAACATTTTTCATAAAGAAACTCTATTGGAGCGATTCGGGAGCGGGTGAATAAACATTTTTCAGAGTACCATACAGCGTATAGAGGGAAAAGCGTTGAGGATTTAATTTTAGAAAAGGTAAATCCGTTTAACGGCTGGACCGTAAAACGAGAAAACAGGAATTTCAGGAGCGTGAAAATGTTTCTTCTCTTTTATCGTGCAACAGATTTTCACATTTTAATTTGACTTTACATTTACAAAATTATTTTTTTTGTTTGAAATTCAAATTGATTCTAAATAAACATTCGTTTTAAACTGAACTGTTGAAGAAAAAACGATAAACGTAAAGTCTACTGTGATCGAACCACGTATCGATGTTTTTTAAATTTTATTCAAATCAAATTCGTACGTGTCATCGTTTATTTAATAATTATATTATTTCTACAAAGCTACGATGTACGCAAGATTACGTTAATTAATCTTTGCATGGAAAAACAAACTACACGAGTGTCTTGTATAATTGTAGCAGAATAAACAAGCAATTTCAAGTAATTTTAACATGATGATTAAATTTTTAGTTTATAAATTTAATTTTAAGTAACTGTATTATATAATACATTGGAATTTTCGAAAAATATTTTTTTAGGATTAAATGCCAGTAATTCTCGTAATTTAAATATATCATTGATTTAAAATAAATTGAGTTTTTCCCATATTTTTCTTGACTTATTTATCGATACTCCACCATGGAGGTTTTTTCATGGGGTTCAAAATCAGGAATGACAGAAAAAAAAATTTTTAAATTTAAACACAAGGCCATCATTTACCGAAATCCTATTGTATCCCTGTAATCAATTTCAGTTTTCTGATCTTTCCCATTATTACTATAAGTTTTTGAATAAAGGCAGCGAGTTAAATAAATAACTGATACATACTACTAGAATAGACNGACTTTTTTCTCATTTCATCGTACACATACATATATATTTAGCTTTCTTAGAAATGTATTCGATTGAATTTTCTGTATTTTTCAATTGACATGAATTGTGATTATTTTTCTCAGATAAATTTAAAAAAAAAAACTACTTACCTATATTTAACTTTGTGTTTCTGTTTGAAGAAAAAAAGCTTGAGATTTCTCGCTTCGTTACAGTAAATTTTTGTCAACTCTCACAGATAAATTTATTTACGACAATAAAAGTAAACTCGTATTTTTTGAATAAAATAATTATTTTTACGTTTTCGTGATACACATTTCATCTCATCGTACCCGAAGGTACTTATCGCCAATAAATTTTTTCACACCACACACACCCTATCTCTTCAACGTTAATATATTCCAAAACAAAGTTTTTTTTTTTTTTCTTTTGTTGTTGTTGTGTGTACACATAATATATATAATTGCATGCACGTATAGATGTATGACAACTTTGCATCTACATAACTGTTCTCTCCGGTAGATGTTTGTGATACTTCCAAAAGTGTTTCGTAACTTTACTGTTTCCTACTTTTTACAAAAATAAAATCATTCGGGCCTTTGATCATTTTTTTGAAGATAAATCGAAACTTCAATTTAACGTGTTTCATCTTAAATTTAAACACTGAGAAATAATCGACTAGAAAAAAAATTTATACATTCATCCTCTCGTAACTTAAAAAAGTAGACGTACGTAATTTCGTAGTGCGACATTTAAATTTAAATAATGTAGTTACAGTTAAGATCAAATTCCTCGGATCTCCAAGTACCTACATGAAGTACTCAATTTTAAACTTCAACGCACGTGCTACGACTAATACGTACATCGTTAAAAACTTTTATTGCCCCTACACATTGATACGCATACTCGCAAAAAAGTGCGATGTTGATTTCCTCGGGCACGTTTTCCATCACAAGTTTCGAAAAATAAATTACGATTTTTTTTTTTTTTTTCTCTAAAAGTTAGCTTCAAGTACATAATTAACTTGTAATAACAATGAAAAATAACGCTGCACAAAATAATCTCATTGTATTTATCTGAGATTAGTTGTTGTGTGCTTTACAAAGCAAAGCCACACAAAAATAATCAAATTCTCAACGCATCATCAGTCGAATTAATACTATTATTTGATAAAAGTAACGCGCACAAAACACATCATCATTATTATTATTATTATTATTATTATTTAGAATAGTATATAAAAGCACATGCATATGTAAACAAGATGTGCATGCGCGTGTGTGTTCAAATCTCGTTTAAAATACACACACACACACGCGCGCGCTTATGCACACGCAACGAATGGGCAATTGGCGATTCCATATGCCCAGACGAAAAAACAAAACTTCGACTGCTCATTGTGGCTTGTGTTTCATTGATGGTTTCAGCGCGACCGGCGGCGCTGACAGCGGACCTGGAAGTCTCGGCGGCACACCGACCGAGGAAGGACAGCAGCCCTTCGGTGCTGGTAGGTTGTCTTTGTATTATTTTTTATTTTATTTTATTTTTTTTCCAACCACACGATGTACACTTTCCTTTTTGTCTTCGCACTTGAGCTTTGCTCGAATGCCTTGTCTCGCTGTTGTTCTTCTTTTCGACTGCTTGGGGCTACGTATGAGACCTGAATGTTTTAGATTTTAGAGAAACGAGGGGCTAAAGTGTCGTTGGATACACAATGATTGTACGTGAAACGTGAATCTGGGCGATACGTTTTTTTTTTTTTTTTTTTTTTTTTTTTTTTTTTTTTTTTTGAGCTCTTTGTGCTGCAGTGGAAAAAAACGTGAAAAAATTAACAGTTCTAGATTTACGGACTGCTGAGTAAAAGCATTACGTACCTTAGAAAAAAAATTTTCATTCGTTGGACTTAGTAACAAAAATAGAGCCTTTGTTTACTTTATACTGGCGCTATTTGGGAAAGGTGTTGAAAATTTTTAGTACGCTTTCATTGTTGGCTTTTGGGTTGTTTTAAAAATACAGGCCTCATACAAAAGGTATGGAAATAAGGTTTGTTGTTGAGGCATTCTAAATTAGTTGTAATTTTAAACAGTTCAATGAAATTAAGTCACGCTCTTTTAAAATAGTTTGCACGCTATTTTTACTTTTCTACGATTTGTAATTTTTTTTGTTTGAATTAAAGTTTTCTTCGTCACACTTAAAATAGTATTAACACCACTAAAGTATAATATTTTAGTAACGCAAGTAATTTGATTAATTAAAAATTGTGCATCGTTGAGATTAATCGTAAGCGAATGAATGACCAAAATTATTAGCGTACACTTAACGTATTATGTATCGTGCACTTTATCTGCTGCTTAGAATTTTCTTACTTTATCCTTTTTGCGATATGTGATGAAAAATTTTGTCAATACTACCAATTTTATTTACGATATGCAAAATAGTACCAAAACTCTTTTAAGTATTTTACTTAAAAATTCTTGTATCATGTCTGTTTTTTCGTAAAATTTTTTTTGCTTCGTTATAATAAACCTTGATTTTGCTTGTAAGTGCCGCGTAAACTGAATTTTCTTGATCTGAGTCTTTAAATATTTAATGTACTTACTGCTCGATTGAATTAGCAAAGTGACTCTAATTAAATAAGGATTACTAAAATTTTACGTAACTTTTTTTTACGTTTAAGTAAATTTAGCGACTTTCGACCTCTATTTTGCTTGATTTAATTATTTAGATTCAGTTTGAAACGTTTATTTTATTACTTAATTTACTATAGTTTAGAGATATTTCAGAGAATTTGGATGTTAAATTTAGTATTTTTTCCTCTCTTCATAAATTTGTACGTTTTTATTTTTTTATTGATCCAAATAACTATTAATCCATTTAAGTTTTGATCCTTACAGGAATTCAGAGCTTATGATTAAAAATTTTCATTTAAAAGGTATGTCTGTAGGATAGTGGCTATTTAAATTAAAAAAAAAAAAAGTTTTACGGTGAATCTATGCTTATAATACAATTCAAATCAATGAATTTTTTTTTAATTTTTTAAACTTTAGCCATTAGTTATTCACATTTTTGAATGACTACGTCTACGAATTTACTTTGGCCCTTTGTCCACAAATCGACTAGTTCTTACATAGTGGGTATACTCGGTACCCACTTGAAATTCCTCTTTTACGGGATTGCCGCTACATTTGATCCAAATCACCTCTTTCTTTGGAAACCAACAATACTGCTCGTTCTTCCTTTTTTTTTTTTTTTTTTTTTTGTGAAAAGAACTTTAAGAAATCCTTGGTTGCTCTACAATTTTCCCTCATCTCGTTTGAAACGTGCTTTTCTCGAGCAACTCAAAAGGTCTTTAGGAATTTCTTTGTAAAAAAGTTCCATACTATATCTGTTAAAATTAAGCTGAAGGGAAAATTTTATGAGAGAGCCAATGTAAATGTAAATATTGTACTTTTAAAGCGCTACACATTTTTATGAATTTACATGTCAAAAAAATTGCGTATAAAATTTATTTCAGATGGATTTGGTGTACTTAGTAAAATTTCACTCCAATGCTCTGTTATTTTAATACATTTTTTTCGCCAGTAATTATTTATTTTCGCGAAAAGAATACATTTAAAAATGCTCGAAGGCATAAAATTTTATGTTTCCCAACAAGAAATATTACCCTCATTATATTGTTGTAAGTAAAAAAAAAAAAAAAAAAAAAAAAAAAAAAAAAAATTTTTTTTTTTTTTTTTTTTTCTCAATTTTCATCACACGAATAAATGCACTCTACACTCACGTGAAAAACCATTTCGTCCAAAACCATAGAAATATTCACCATTTCAAATAATTATAAAACAACCACGTTGTAATACACTTCATCCACAGTTATCGTTTCGAGCAAATGAANTGAAAATAAAAAAAAAAAAAAAAAAAAAAAAAAAAATTGTATTTGCTTTTTTTTATATTTCTCAATTTTCATCACACGAATAAATGCACTCTACACTCACGTGAAAAACCATTTCGTCCAAAACCATAGAAATATTCACCATTTCAAATAATTATAAAACAACCACGTTGTAATACACTTCATCCACAGTTATCGTTTCGAGCAAATGAATGAAATCAATGAAAATTAGGCATTTTACTAAGAATATTAGCAAAAAGAGGGGCAGGGGGTGGGGGACGACAACACACGTAAAGGCATAGTCAAACGGAATGATCTCGATGTTTTCGTCCGCGTTTTCTTTTGCAGTGTCGACAAAGGCCCTGGCCGGCGCCAAGAGCCTGGGCGGCTTCCTCTACAGCGCGGTAAACAAGGCCGGGAAATCCGTCGCCGAGGCTGGCGCTAAAATCAAGAAGACCGTCGAAGAAAACGTGAGTTTCGCCTCTTTCACTGTATACATGTACATATATATACATATTACCAAGCCTTGAGTGACTTTTCCTTCGAAAGGATTTTTCTTTTCGAGAAAAAGACCCCGTCGTGCAAATAGCCCGCGGACCGAACGCTGGAAGGGGAAAAAAAAAGGTTTTTTTTTCTGAAATATCAGGGGAACGCACCGAACGAAAGCTATAGGAAAAGCTGATCGAGCCGACGGCCCGTAAAATAATTATCCCACGACGAGCGGACGGGCTTTAATTTTTCCAGAGGCCGGATTGCAACCAAATCGATTATGACGTTTCGTCGCACCCCCTCCTCCCCCCTACCTGTTTTTTCATCAAAATTCAATTTCCACTCGGAGAGGGAAGAAAAAAAAACGAACTTCCATTTCCACCTCCAAAGAGGAAAGCACGTACAGGTAGGCGCGAAGAGTAAATGTAAAGAGCGCGCGCAAAGTCAAAACGTGGGAGGGGAAAAAAAAAAAAAAAGAGCTACCGAATCTCGCGAGTTGGGGTCTTCGAGGAGCGGAGAGAAAATCGATGGAGCTTCGGCAGTGGGTGTAACGCACAAAGCGAGAAAGAAAAATAAAGGGAGAGCTCTGATTTCTTTTATTTCTCCCTATCCCCGGGGCTCACTGCTCTCTCTTTGCTGTGTACCGATTCTCGTCGGAAGGGTCTGCCCGAGCTGAGATAACTCGGCGTCCTCCTCCGCACGGATGAGAGACGATCGCCTCCTTTTTTTTTTTGGTCCTTCTTTTGTTGCTGGTATACTTGTTGTTGCCGAAGAGGGCCAGTTAAATGGGTTTAATGGCCGCTGATATTTCTCTTTTTTTTTTTTTTTCTATAGGTACATACACGTATAGAGGGAAAGATCGATGATGCTTCCTTTCGTGCCTGTTTGTGCACGATGACGCGCCCTGTACGTATACACGTACGTCTTTTATCGAAGGGGATTTCTCAGGTTTCACGTATTCCGATGAATCTCGAACCCTCGAGTCTTTCCACGCGTGTACCAACATCAACGTATATCGTCGAAGCAATTTATTCATACGTACCAAAACACCGATCTCCGGGACACTCTCGTCCCAATCTGCATGCCACCTCCCCCTTTTCCTACACTTTGTCGCGTACGTGTAGCGTTTGCGTCGAGCATTCCGCAGAGGAGGGGTGAGAGGAAAACGCTTGGCTCGCTATGAATTAAATCAAAGTGGGAGCCGATCGATCCCTCCGACGTTGTTGTTGCTTTCGTTTGATGGATTTTTCGCGCAAGCGAGGAAGAAATAAAAAGCATCGGTCACTCCTACGTTTTCAAACGCCATCCGTGGCTTTTCACGTACAAAGTGACACGTAAACAAATGAACTCGAATCTCAAGGGGCTGGTGGGAACGGCAGTATTTTTTTTTCCTTCTAAATTTAGGACGGCAAAAATGTCATCGCGTGCGCGCCGCTCACTCGTGTGCCATTACAATAGCGATCATCGAGTGTGCAAAGCGTGTTCGAACCTGCTCTCTAAAGAAAATCACGGCCGCGCGTGCCAAGTTTAGATATTCATCTGGTAATCGACTTCACGCTTATTCGCCACTTTTTTCCCCACCTGTGCTATTGTGATTTTCGAGCCGAACGAACGAATAACGTTTTAGACGATCTACGGTGTATACGATTTATTTCATGCGGGTCACGCGAAACTTTATGTACGAGAACATATCCATTGGAAACAACAGTAACTTGTAAAATGACATTTTTCACCCTCTGAAAAAAAAAAAAAAAAAGGACCAAACGAACGAGGCCGGCCATTGTTCTCCGAGTCTCATCAATTATACGGCCACCCACGCAAACGGGCTCTACTTTTGTACAATATCGTACTCTTGGCTCTAAAGAGACACTCCAAACACGCCCGAAATATCCTGTTGACCATCTACTTATTCACTTGGTAGAGTAAGAACGAGCGTGGAATATAAATACACAATCTTCGATTGATCGCAGCACATGATTTGAAACGAAATGTAAGTAAAGTGAGATAAAATATAAGTAAGTGGTCGAAATTAATAAACCCGCCCCTCTCGAGTAGTCGTCGATACGTAAGGTATAACACCCAAGTCGCTCGAGGTAGACCACAAAGGGCGAAACGAAAGACCTTGCATCTCCCGGTCGGCCTGTCACGCAGAAGAAGAAAAAAGGAGGGAAAAAAAAGAGGCTGCTGGCGTTTGTATACACGTAGGTGATGCCAAGCGGTAAAAAAAAAGAAGGCCAGATCCGTGCGGTGTGTACTTGGTGTGCTTGTAACGCGCGTACAACAAAGACGGTGGGGGGGGAGATCGAGGTCTAGTTCATCGTCCACCAACGACCACCACAGCGATGCTTACCCCCACTCGTATCTAGTTTTCGCGTACGTGCATATATACGTATTTGAAGAAAGTGGGTGGGGGGGGGGCGCAGAACCTCTTCCCACCGAAGAATAGGGACGGCGCGTGTATTGATCCGCTGGCGCAGCAACTCTGCCCGCTACACCGGCTCTCCGACCCCCCCCCCCCCCGTTCCCTTTGCTTTTCTCACTGGCGCGCACACACCGTCCCCTTTGACGATAATTTTTGCCCTCACGATTTTTCACTCCCAATTTTACCGATTTTTCAAAGACCACTCATCCCCCCGCGCTCCGCTTTTCGAAGTAAGTGTCATATTATGCACGGCTGCATGCCGTAAAAACCATCGTAAACGATTCAATCCGGTTAAACGCTCTCGCGATTTATTTGCTCGGTCGTACTTCTCTCTCTCTCTCTCTCTCTCTCGATCGACGATTTATCGGCCAACCAAGTAGCACGGCGTGCCCTGGATTTTCACTCGTTCACCGAGGCGATGTTGTCCATTTATTCAGATGTCATGACGAACAGCCGTCCGAAGCCCAAAAGGATACATCCGGAGGGATGCGTTACCACGTATACCACGCCATCCTGGGAGTTCGACATACATATATGTTACTGCTCGTATGTATGTATAAAAAGCTGTTTTTTTTTTTTTTTTTTTTTTTTTTGCTCTTGTACTATTGGCAGTGGGATCGATCTTTCCGAAAGCTTTAGCGTTGGCAGGGTGATGCCTCCGGGGCACGCACTTGTTTCCGTCGTCCCGTGTTTTTTGGTAGGAAAAATAGTCAAACTCGAGAGAAAGAAAAATCAAGAGGAGAAGGAGGAGGAGGTTCGAGCGATCGAGAGCACTTTGAACCCCTGACCTTTCAAGGACGATCATCGGAGACACGTGTGAGTTACATCCGTGACGCTCGTGTACGCGGAAATTAATCACCCGAAGGGATATACCCCCCGGAGGAATATACACCGCGAGACGTTGCAGTCGGTGCTTGTCATTCTTCACGGGAAAAATTCAGATTACCCAATTAACTGCTCGCCTTTCGAGTTGTCATCCCACAGGCATTCGCACACCCACGATGGAATTTCCAAAAGAGTGAGGTCATCGGTAGGTATACGTGTATTGACGCGCAATTGGGATTTTCTCGTACATCTCTACTTCTGATGTGCTCTTACGCGAAAATCCCTAATTGAATCGTACGACTGAATTGCCCGCGTGTAAGTGAAAAAAACAAACCTTTTCTTTTCACCCAACTGCAACGGACGATTCTTATCCGAGCAAATGGCTCGGCGGTATTCGAATGGCCAATCGCGAAAGGAAGAAAGACATCTGCATCGTAAATCCAATTGCCCCTCGTTGGGGTAGGGGAGGAGAAAATGTGCGTACTACCACGTGCAGGCCAAAAGCTTTTTTCTCTGCTAGCCCACTTTTGCGACGCCTATAGATCGAATTAACTGTTTTACGGAGAGGGGCCGTATCCTCGAGCGCGTGCAGGCAGCCGGTGGTTGGTGCCAGAATCGATAGCGACTCCTCTCTACCCATCCTTTCCTTCCCCCCCCCCACCCCAGTTCCTTACCCGGCCTCTGTCACATATACTCGCTCGCTCGTGGACTCGTTCGTTTTGTAGGTGTGTGTGTGTGTGGCTGTTGTTAATCTCGGACATTCGTTATACGCGTGCGAGCACAACTGTAGACCAAGGAGGAAGAGGATCCGAATTTACATTGTGCCCATGGGAGACTTTGCCCTCGGCTGTCTTACAAAATGCCGCTTTTCGCCTATAGATGCACATATTTTAATCGGCCATGAAAGAATTTTTTTTTTTTTACTCACTGCCCACACGTACCCACACACTGTACCATCGCTGGTGGTTGAAATACTTTTTTTTTTTTTTTTTTTTTTTTTTTTTTTTTTTGCGACTAAGGCGTGGGTAAGTAAGGGTTCATGTACGAAGGTGCGTCTGACCGAATCTTGATTTATCTACTTGGACGTGTACAACAATAAGCAGCTTCGAAAATGACGCGTCTGAACTATACTCTTTTCTTTTCTATTTCATGGCTCCTGCAACACAACAACAACAACAACAACAACAACAACAACAACAACAACAACACACATAACAACGACAACAATAACAATAATTGAAATAAAAGAAACAACCGGCTCTCGATGCGATGTCGCAGGTGGTGAACAATCAGGTAAATCGACGCTCTGGAACTAACTTCTCTCTCTTTCCTTTTTTTCCCCTCTTTGTGCTTAATACATAAAAATACATACATAGATGTGCAGCGCGTAGAGTAGCTCTTGGCGCTTTCGCTTCGACATCAGCAGCAGTGCTAGTGGCATACACGTACCCTCACAGAGAACGATGGATTCTTTTTTTTTTTTCCCCCCCGTCTGGAAGAGGTAGAGGCTTTTTTAGCGACTCCCCGCTGTATAGGTGTAAGTACTCGTGTACGTGACCCTCGCGAGCGACCGTTTTTCTTTTCTTTTTTTTTTCCTTTTTGAGCTCTTCTTCTTCTTCTTCCTCCTTTCTTCTTTTTCACTCTCGTCGTTGTATATTTTCCCCCTGCCTCCCGGCCTTGCTCTCGTCTCCCGAGGGCGCACGTGGGCTCGTTTTCTTCCTCGACTCACAATCGACCGACGAACTAGCCGTCAAAGGCAGCAGATGATTTTCAGTAACCAACGAATTGCTCTCGTAACTGAATTACCGTTCAAGAGACCTTTATACTTACAGCGAACCGAGGAGATGATGTGGTGGTACATGGTGACCTTGAAAAAAAAACAATGATCTCATTGTCTCCGCAACAGTTTGTTCAAAGGCATTTTTTGTGATCTGCTATTGGAAATATCGGATAAAACCTGCGGAATGCATTACCGCCCCGTGTGAAATATTCATCCGGTTGTTGGCAGTACCAAAAAAAAAAAAAAAAAAAAAAAACGTTTCATTCCATTATGCTCCGTCCACAAAGAGGTAGAGCTTTATGCAGCGAAATAATGTACGTCTCGCCACTCGGGGCCATTGAGAAAACCCCGATGAATCGAGCCCCTCCGTATACACGCACACACTTGGCGCTGAGCTCCATGAGTATAACGGGAAGTGCATGGTATGTTTTTTTTTTGTTTTTTTATTTCTCTCGCAACTGAATGTCAAACATGTTTCCTTTATCTCCCCGCCCCACCGGTATATTTCATTTCGATTGAAAAACACACATTACCAGCCCAATGAAGAGGATCTTTTTGATGAACAGACACGTTTTTTCCATCTCTACTCTACACTCGACAAAAGCGTACAGGCACTCATTTTATGAAAAATCAATCGGCACTCGAACGGAAACAAAAAAACGCAGCATGTACTCGCGCTCGGGCAATCTCGACAAAACGACCGATCGACTGGAAAAAAAAAACAAAAAAAAAACAATTTTTCCGCCCTCGGGTGGTTTTGGGAGGCTGGTACTTCCTTGGGCGAAAAAGCAGTTTTCCGGAACTCGTTCGAAAAGTCTCCTTTACGAACCTCGTTACGTCCCTCGCCTTCGGCTCGGGCCGCAAACCTCTCGGTTCGCAAACAGAGACTTTTCAAACTCGTAGGAAAACTACTATTTCTTTTGTTTCCCCTTGGTGGTTCGATTTTAGCTTCGAATGCACGCTGTCGACCTTAATTTCGTTGATTCGCGCGCGTCAACTGCTATTGCCCGCTTGGGATGTACATAACGCGTACACCTGGAAAACTCGTTCGCTACTCCTTTTTCACGAAATAATCTCGACATCCCCCCCAAGTTGGCGATTAAAAAAAAAAGGATCAGCAAACAAGTAGCCGACGAGCGAGGCGGAATATCCACAAAACACGAGCATACAATGTATACACGGCAACCCCAAGGGAGGTGGAAAGTTTCGTACTCGCTTCGGGGCGTTTTAAGTGGACTAAATCGTTCTGCCCTGTAGCCAATGTACAATCAACAGCGTGTCTCTGCACCTCCTCCCTTTCATTTGCTCATCGATACGTACATGCCACAATGTGCTTCGTGTGCGAGGGGCTGAAAAAAAAAAAAAAAAAAAAAAAAAACCACAAAGAACGATAGATATTTCGCAAGCTGGACGTCATATCTTTCCTTCCCGAGAGCCGCGCGTATATATACCCCAAGTACACATGTCAAGATATAGAGACACGTGTGCGCGCGCGCCAACCCGCACGTGAGCCGAAAAAGATCGCGAAACGACTACCTGGAATAAAATGATGCTCCAAACGTGTTACATCCTGGCAGTAATAATCGCTCTCTCCCCTTGCGTGGATCGATGTCGCCCCCCTCGAAAGGGACAGTCGAGCCTCGAATGGTTATCCGGCCAGCATTTTTATCATCAGGGAGATGGAAAAAAAAAAAAAAAAAAGAAGCCCGCAGTCAATGACGTCACCGTGTCTGTTGAGCGGAGGGGGGGGGGCGAGCCCATGTAGGTCAGGACTGGCGGCTCGCTGCTCTTCTGACCTACATTCCCTCCGGCTCGCTCCACATCTTGGCTCCTGTGGGTGTCGCGCCGAGTATCCGCTTTCACCTGACGCTTTCATCTTTCATCTCGACCTTCTGTCGGTGGTGTGTTACACCTATCGGAGGTCACGCTTCCGTCCGGGGCTAATCGCCTCTGGTTTACCTTACTTTTTACATTTCAATGGCACAGAGGTACGAGTAGTATGGTGGACCTCGAGTACCTGCCACAACTTACAGGTAACTCGATCGAACTTTAGCCACTCCCATTGAATATTTTATTTCACACCCATCAGCTTATAGATTGCTATACATGCAGCCAGAGAAGAGTAGTGGTTGAGCTCGGCAAATTTTTCGCTCATCGTCGGCTGTAGTGCTTGTACGAGAAGCGTGGAAAAACTTTCCCCTGTGGATTCTACCATAAATTATCCTTCGTTTTATTAATCGTTAATCAGCTTCAAAGTTTCGCCCTGCTCCGCACTCTCATTACTTGCCGCCCATTAGCTTGATTGCGACTCGTGTGGTGTGGTATATCGGGTGTTGGAGGTACATGCATCGTAATGTACATTGTTGGTTAACTGTAACGGCGGTTTTGCGCCGTTGATATTTTTTTTTTTTTTTTTTTTTTTTTTTTTTTTTTTTTTTTTTTTTTTTTTTT